AGGTTTGTGATTTCTCTATGGTAAGATCCTGACTTTCTGGCAGCTTTGACAATTGGTTTCAGGTACCATTATTGTTCGTCACAATTGACAAAGAGAATGTACCATGACATACTGCTTTCTTCTCAACCCTGGTAAATAAATAAATAACTTGCTTTTTTAAAGCATGTTCTATGGGATGCCTTTTCTGTATGTCTGATAAACATTTCCATTCCTTGAGTATTCTTCCACCTTTTGTGGTTGTTTCCTCTAGTATTGATTTGAAAAACCTTGTGAAGGAGGCTTATATTTTGTTCGATTAAGTTGGTCATATGATAGCAATGGAACAAAGAAGTTCAAAGTTAATAATTTGTTACTTTTCCTTTCAATCTTTAGCTATACCGCCTCTCATTGCCTATGCAATTGTTTTCCAGGTCCCAAACAAACCATAAGATGTACACTGTCCTGTTGTGGAGATGTCCACACATTCTAAACTTAGTTGCTTGAGCTGGAACAAGTATTGGAAGAATCATGTATGTAGCAGTGATTATGAGGGGATAGTGACTGTGTGGGATGTAACAACTCGTCAGGTAATAAGGAATTGTTGTAGTTACTTGACAATATTGTCATATATCACTTGGACTTGTTATATTTTTCATTTTAAACAGCATTTTCATGTATTAGTCCCGACAATTATCATTTTATATTTCAATTATTGTTTTAATCACTTTGGCAGAGTCTGATGGAATATGAAGAACATGAAAAACAAGCATGGAGTGTTGATTTCTCATGGACTGACCCTTCAATGCTTGTATCTGGTAGCGATGACTGCAAGGTATGCTAACATATTCGATATCCTGAACCAAGTGTTCTTTCATTGCTTAAATGAGTTACAATGTTTGGTGGATAAGCTCAAATTCTTGGTTTTATTTGCTTTCAGCTTTCATCATTAGTGAGGGAAAGTTCATTGTTGACTAATCATATCATGGATGTTTTTTGTTAATTAACCAGGTGAAAGTTTGGTGCACGAAGCAGGAGGCCAGTGTTCTTAATATTGACATGAAAGCAAATATATGTTGTGTCAAGTATAATCCTGGATCTAACAATTACATTGCGGTATGTGCATAGAATTATATTTTTCTAAAAATGTGTGCTGTAACTCCTTGCAGTTGATGTAATTGCAGTGCACTGCGATGAACCATGTCTTTTCTGAAATTCTGATATAGATGACCATTATTCCTAGAATCCCGGTACTTGTGGCTGCATCAACTGTATGCTGATTCATCAATTATTTGGGATTGCCTTTGGTGATGGGAAAAGCAAATTATGGATTTATTAAAAGGCTTATTTAGTTTGGGAAGAAGTTTTACTTCCTTCCAATTCTCTGGTTCTGGTTTTCTTTTCCAAAATTTTCTGTACAGAATGCAAATAATTTTTTAGGCTGAAAATGGTGGATTCTTTTTTTTAGAAAAAGAGAAACATCTTCAGTGTAGTTTAGTTTTAATTTAATGGGAAGCGTAATAGAATTGGAAAACCTTATTTTCTAATCTTTTGGAAAACTAATGAATGAAAATTTATTTAAATAAAAAAGAAAAGGGGACTAGAAATATTTTTAAAAATGAATTTTCTTTCTTTTTTGTGAAAGTTTTTAAAGTGAAAATGGAAGATTTTCCAAAATTAATGCACCCTTAATGTTTTTAACGGCATTGCGCAATCCCGGCGTAGATACTTTGTTTCAATTCTTCAGTATTTTAAGAAGTTACTTACATTCACAAAGCCAGTTTTGAAGAAGCATGTTGGAATTTGAAATTACTTTATATGCAAATTTCCCTTAGTATTGACTACTTTTATTAATCTCGCTAGCTTGGGCGTGCTAATTTAGTACTAAGTTTCTTATACGTAGGAAAAATGGAACCGAAAACTATGAAATTTGTGGGCTTATGCAGGTTGGTTCAGCAGATCATCACATCCACTATTATGATTTGAGAAACATCAGTAGTACACTTCATGTGTTCGGTGGGCACAAAAAAGCGGTCCCATATGTGAAATTCTCGTCTGAAAATGAACTTGCTTCTGTGCATCTACAGACAGCACACTAAGGTTATGGGATGTAAAGGAGAATTTGCCAGTGAGTAATGTGTCTATAATGGTTCAGTATTTCATAATTATGCCTTAACCCAAGGTAATGATTTTCATTTTCTGGTAGCTCCATATCATCCGATTCACATACAGCTTCGCCCTTTTGGATGCCATACGAATCAGAAGAATGTTGTGGGCCTCTCTGTAAACAGCCAATATATTGCATGTGGTAGCGAAACAAATGAAGTTTACATGTACCATAAGGTCAGGAACACAACTGACAATCTTCGTCTGTTTTACATTTGTAGTAAAACAAAACTAAAGAATGGGCGTTTATTTTGCACGAAATATCCAAACCTCTAAAATGGCGTAGATTTAGTTCGCCGGACATGGATGATGCAGATGAAGATGCTGGGTCGCACTTCATCAGCGCGGTATGTTGGAAGAGTGATAACCCTACCATGCTAACTGCTAACAGTCAGGGAACAATAAAAGTGCTTGTCCCTCCGGCTTGATCAAAATTGAAAAAGAATTGAGGAGATGAAAAATAAAGGGTAATGGCGATGATCTGTTGCTTCATCCTTTATTTATGTAATTTTGTTTTAATAGCAGTTGTATATATATAGTTATAGTGAAAGTTTTAGAGACCACAGTTCTGAAAATGGTCGAAAATGGACTTGCAAGATCAAGAAAACTCAGACGGTCATTTAAAGGTTCAAAGAAAAAGAGAAGGGATGCGAGAAGAAAAAACTCAGGGAAGATATCGCCATGACCTCTGTAACATGACATCTACTTTTCTTGGGTTGTGTTTTTGACCCGCTGCACGAACTATGATCAGGTCCATGACCAAGAGTGGCACTGAACGTCATTGAGCCATGGATAGAACTTATGGCCCAGAAAGCAAACGACGAAGGGTTATCAGGACTCAGGAGAAGATGGCTATGGTGGAACAGTGCCATGAAAGATGAGAAAAGACGCCTTAGCCTTACCTATTTATCAAAATACCAACAACAGATTCGGTTGATCTATCGTTTTCTACGAACATATAGACGGGATGGACTGACAAAGAAATCGTTGATATCAGCGAATCAAGTAGAAAATGAAACCATTTGGTTTCTGAAAAACTCCGCCGCAGAAACATCTGTTATATCATTGGACATAACCCTCAACAAAACTCAAACAATTACTCTTTCAATCATTGCGGTGTAGAAGTCAAATAATTCTTCGAGTTGCCTTTCTGACCACTTTTGATGGCTCTAATTTGTTTTTGTTTTTTTATTTAAATTTTTAATCTATTTAAAAAAAAATTATTTTAAATCTGATTAAATAAAGTATAACATTACGAGTTTAAATTATTTTTTAATTTATAAATTTTAAATGTCAATTTTAATAGTATGTCAGGTTTGACTGCCCTAATTTGTTAAATCTAACTCGAATTCGGTTCGATTATTGTCGAGTCGAGCTCGAGCTCGAGTAGCTCGATTTATCGATCGAGCCGAATTCGAGTATTATTATATCTGACTCGAGTAGCTCGCGAGCCTAATCGAGCTTTTATATTTAAATATATTTTTATTATTTTAATTAATAAAATATTTCGAGTCCGAGTTCGAGTTCGAATTCGAGCATGAATAATCGAATTTTTGTCGAGTATACGAATCGAGCTTATTTTTACATATTAATCGAGCTTAATCGAGCGAGCTCGAGTAGCTCGAATTCGATCACGAATCGAGCTCGAGCTTGAAAAATAAAACTCGATCGAGCTCGAGCCGAGTATCGAGCCCCGAGTTGTGAGTCGAGCTCGAGCTCGAGCCTCTCACTACTCGGCTCGGCTCGGCTCGTTTACAGCCCTAGTTAGAGGGCAAGAAAATGGAGGAGACCGTGAAGAAAAAGGAGGAAAGAGGCCTTTCTGGGCACTACCTTGCCGTTTGTTTTCGGCTTCGGCTTCGGCTATGGATTTGTACAAAAGTGAGTCGGAAAAGTACGTGGCGGACAGGTCTAGCATCCGAGCCACTAAATCTCTCTCCTCCAAGCATATTCGTAGAATGTTCTCTTTACAACCTTTCTGCTTCACTGATATTTTATTCACCCTTTGTCCATTTTCTTCTCTTTATTTCATATTTTCACTATATTTTATTATCATGAGATTTCGATGGCTACAAGTTTATATATTTATATATATATTTATTGAATCTCAACAAGTTTATTTTATTTCATATTATTTTTTATTTTTTATTAAATTTTATAATTTTAAATATGATATAATGATAGAATAAAAATAATATAATTAAAAATTAATAAAAATTATATATATTTGATTAATTTTTTTGTATATTTAATTATTTACACGTTAAATAGAAACAGATAAAATAAAAATGCAGCTCCCTATTATCATATTGAACATGGCTTTATGGATTCATCTAGAACCATGCAATGGAGTGTTAAAATTTTCCTTTTCTTTTCTATCGGCTTCTATACATGAAAAATCAACTAATCTTTGTTTGTCTTAATAAAAAATTGTAAATATATTTTATTAAAACAATGGTACTTTTTTAGGAAGAATTTAGGTAATTTTTTTTTTGGGTAAAGTTGATAAAGTTTGTTTATTAGAAATAATTAAATTAAAATTGATATATTTAAAGGATTCATTATATAGATTAAATGTATAAAATTTTAAAAAAATTTAAATATATTTAAATATATTTTTAAATAAATATTTTAAATAAAACATTACAAAATTTTTTAAATAAATATTAATTAAATTTGAATTATAAATATTATTTTTAATAATTTTTTATATATTATTAATTTTTATATCAATTTTTATTAATTTATTAATTTATTAATTTAAAGTTTTTATTAAAATTTTTATCTAATTATTTTTTTAAAAAAATTCATAAATTACACTTAAAAAATTTCATATAAGTCCACCTTTAAACCCAAATGGCAACTAGTGTTCTTTGATTTCCAATTTTCCATGCCATCCCTTTCTCTTCTGTCACCTTCTAAACCACCAGCCTCTGCCACGCAGTGTTCACACTTTCTTTTAACTGTCAGAAGAATCATCCCAACCCCCCAAAAAGCACATTCTCCTTGATCCCCACGCTCTCTCTCTCTCTCTCTCTCTCTCTCTCTCTCTTTCTTTTTTTTTTTTCGTTTGTCATTCATGAAAGAAGATACTAAAGCCAAACTAAACCAAAACCATCAACATGGGAGCCAACAGATGTGCAGAACCATAGAAGTCGTTGCCACCGTTGACCACATCGACATGTCGCCGCCGGTCATGTATCCGGTAGTGGTTGCTGCCAACACTGGAGATGACCTCAACTTGATTCCTCCATTGAACTTTGCTATGGTTGACAATGGCATCTTTAGGTCGGGTTTCCCTGACTCTGCCAACTTCTCGTTTCTCCAAACACTTGGCCTCCGCTCCATCGTGTAAGACCAAAGTTTCTGCCTTTATTATAAAAGTTATTGCTTCTACAAGCAAATTTTTATACTTTGAGTTAAAGGGTATCTTTTTTTTTTTTGGTTTGTTTGCTTTTCTTTTGGTTGTTTTTTTTAATGTTAGATGTCTGTGTCCTGAGCCATACCCAGAAGCCAACACTGAGTTTTTGAAGTCCAATGGAATCAGGCTTTTTCAGTTTGGAATTGAAGGTTACAAGGTAGCTCTTTTTTTTTTTTTTTTTTTTCTCTTAAAGTAGCTTACTTTTATGAACCAAATCAGGTTTTTTGAATTTGCTTTGCAATTTAAGTTTTTATCTGCAATTATGATAAAATGTGATTGGCCTAGGGGGCCTACAATTTGATGATGATTTTGACCAAAAAATGGCCGAATTTACTCAGTTAGGTGATATTATATTTTAAAGACCTACAATCTATTATCATTTGCATGATAAAGGAATTATGGTGCTATGCTTGGACTGTCATATAAACACAAATGAAGGGCTAGAACAATAGGGAGTTTTTATTCTCAACAATGCTGTTAGTCCAAAAACTATTGCTTGTCTAATTATTGCAGTTTGTTCATTATTTTAGGCTTGTGAATGCTTGGGGCTTTGATTTGTTACATGTGATGGTTTTTTTTTTTTTTTTTGGTGTTGATATGCGTTCCACAAAAGTACAAGAAGTTTGTTAATCATAGAGCAGGTCTCTCACATGTCAATTGTTTTGTTGGGAATCCTTGCTCTTTTTTATTTTTTAATTCCTAAAAAATTAGTTGCAACATTGGGAATAATGCATTTCTTTTTTTTTTCTTGCCAATAAATTTAACTTTCTTAAATAAGGTGGAAATATATTTCAAGCATTAAAATTTCTAATTGAAGATTCCTTTGTGCTCTGCATTATAGTCCCAGAGATGAATTTGTGTATTACCGTGCTTTTCCATATTCAAATCTTTCTCAATTCAAGAAATTTTGGATTCTTTCTTTCAAATTCAGTAATCTACAAATGAGGTTGGATTAACACTACACATGATGGCATCTGTTAAATCTTATTTGGGATCAAAACATTTATTTGAAAGTGATAGAACCTTTTTGTTGCATGCAACATCTATTTCGTTTGTATTTTGAGATTGGAATAGGTTATATTTAAAACATATCTGTTGATGATGACACATGGCTACATTTATTTGTCACGAGATTGTATTCTTTGGCGAAATTTGCCTATATGAACCATACTTAAAGCTACGAATTGAATCATTTCACAGTCTAACCTCAGTCAAAGAATAAAGAGAACCTCTAAGAACTAATTATGCCTCATGTTATCTGTTCAGTTTGTATGAATTCTAATTTCAGAGAAAAGCAATCATGAAGTTGTAATTGCTATTTGAATTGTTTTGTGAGGTTGGATTATTGAGGCAATGTTTTTAGTAAGAAGAGAAAAAAAAGCATATCAGAGAGAAGAAATAAACTAATAGTTATCTCGTAATAGATTCATTCTTGTTTTCGCATTTGTTTTTCCCTTGTCATCTTGATCATGCATTTGGTGCTGGTGATTTCTTTGAGCATGCAGCATTAGCTGTAGCTTTTGTGTGAAATTTTTTAATTTCTTTTGGTAAGTGGTAAGTAAATCCTGGCAAGTAATGATATTCTCCTCCTTGTCCTGCTATCCCTCCTTGTACTTATATATCTGTCTCAAAATTACTCTTTTGCTCTGCCTGTTACATAGACTATTACCCCTTATAACTAACATAGAAAGCTCATAATTTGCAAAAAAAAAAAAAAAAAAAACCTTTTAAATCATGCTCTAGATTTCAGAACTTGAATAGGTTTCTTTTTCAAGTAGGCAAACTTGGATGGGCAAAACGACCATGGAATGAGATCAGGCTCTCTTTTATCACTTTTGTTGTAGCATGTTTCTTTATATCCTTATTGTGTGATTCACTGTCTTAATGTATTGGTATGTGATTCAATATTTAGTGTCCAAAGATCTATGCATTTTGTTTTTTGATTTTCTGGACGTGATAAGCATCTATTTGCTTTACATTTTACTTAAAAGTTTATTGCCATATAATGGTTGCCTGTGGACATATTCTTGTCTTTATCACCAGTTGGTTCTTAGAAAATTTGTTTTGCTGCTTAATGTTTTTATTCACTTAGCCATCTATGTAGTTCTTTCTCAATTCTTTCAATTTCTATCAAGTCTTTGCTTTTCCATGTTCTGATATATATAGCCTACGTATAGACGAGAACATGGAAAAGCAAAGACTCAAGATGATAGAAATTGAAAGGATTGATATACATATAGCTGACGTATATATGTATATATATATATATATATACACACACACACACACACACATATATGTACATATACATATATATGGAAGATTTTGCCTTACATAAATTGATTGTCATTATGATTTGCATTGCATTTCATTTCTTTATGAAAAGGCTTGAAGTGCCTTCTTGCCCTGTCATCTCTCATTTTTCTGGCTATTGTATACACCCTTTACATGGTAGCATTTTTTGCCATTCTCTTGTTAACATGTTTCTCTTACATCATTTTCGGATTTGGGCATTATTACAGAAATTTTGGAAAAATGGATTCCCGACCTGAATTAGTTAGGGCCCAGGGAAGTTGCTGTGGCTTTCTTAGGAAGAATGTGGATGCAGCACCAATAATTTCAAAACAAACTTCAAGGAAAGATATGAAATATCAGTAGTCCGAATCATAAATCTCAAGTCTGTGTTAAAAGTATATATAAGAGCTTCACAAACTTAAAATTAAACCCAGAAAAGTCCATCAATTTTCACTTTCTTGCCAAATCAGCTAGTCTCTAAGTTTTCTAATTTCTCCATGTGCAGAATGCCCCTTATCATTCAATGAAGCATACTGGTGTTACCATTTGGAGTTTCATGACAGTGAGTCACTTGTCACAATCGCATTGGAGATTAAATATTGATTATAGAGAATCTAATTCTACCAAAATTCTGGCATAACTCTTGAGTCATTGCCAAATGGGTATAATTTCAGAATCATGTAAATGAGTCTCCACAGTGCGTGTGAAGAAATGATGTCAAACTTTACTGATTTTGATCCTGAAATGAAATAAGATATTTACTATAGAAAGATGTTCAAATGATCCACTGCTGCATGAGCTTTACAGAACTTTGAGTTGGCAAAGAGTATGTGAGTATCATCACATCACATATACGTATACCGGACATTGCAGAAACTGAAATGAAGCTGTCTTGCTCATAGATGGTTAAATAAAGTGCCATGTAATGTATGGTCTACTACAATAGGGATGCCATTTGTTTTCTATCCACCTTCACTGGTTAAATGTATTTAGCAGCCTCAGTTCTTACATAGTATGCATGCCATCCATTGAAAGAAGTTTATTACTACTTTGATATGATATCTTATGTTAGAAACTAATATACACATTCCGTCCAGGAGCCATTTGTAAATATCCCAGAGGATACAATTCGTGAAGCTCTAAAAGTTGTCATTGGTACTACAAGCTTTTAACACTATTACACTTAATCTCTGGCTAATGTGAATGTGATTGATTATTATTCAATAATTTAATTTTGCCTTGCTGCAATGCAGATGTAAGGAATCACCCAGTTCTAATACACTGTAATCGAGGGAAGGTATGTGCATGTTGGTTCTTCTATTATTGCATACCTTAGTATGACAAGTCAATACCTTTCAAGTTTTATAATGTTGCTTTATTCTTGTATTTCCAGCACCGAACCGGCTGTCTGGTGGGATGCTTGAGAAAATTGCAAAGATGGTGTTTGTCATCTGTCTTTGATGAGTATCAAAGGTTTGCAGCTGCGAAAGCTAGAGTTTCCGATCAGAGGTTTATGGAATTGTTTGATGTTTCTAGCTTAAAGCATCTGCCAATGTCATTTTCTTGCTCAAAGAAGTAAACAACCGGATATATTGAACGCCTTTTGCTTTCTTTCGTTTGCAGAGAAGAAAGCATCGGAATAAATAGGAAAAGGTGATGAGTTCCTGAATTGTATTTTGGCGGTAAAGGAATTATTCTTCATTTTTCCTTTTCCAGAACAGTAAAAGGCATAAATGGTGTCAATTTCCTTTTGTTATGTTCAGTGTTCAGATCTCCCTCCCCATCTCTTTCTTCATGTTTTATCACAGTAATTCTGCTTTAACATTCTTATTGGAATGACCAAAAAGAGACCTAGAGTCCTAGTGACATTTATGAAATTCCATGTCTACTTTGATTATCATGCTAAGATGGTGTTGACCATGGTGATATGAAGTGAAATCATCGGATTTTCGTCTTTATTTCAGAGTAATATGACAGTTAGAATTGGTTGTTTGAAGAAATGCAATGATAGGGTAGCGAGCATATAGAATTTACTAGTGACGAGTTTAATTGTCTACAAAATTTTCTGAACTTTCTGGTTCTCTTTCTATGTGAGATTTTGAAACAACACAATGATTGACTAAGAAATGGAGGACAGACCTTATGGCTCTGGGCAGGACTGAAGGAGCCAATCTTCTTCATCGCAATCCATAGATGATCCTCCAGTCCGAGGGTCGTCATCTTTAGTTTTGATAATTTAAAACAAGACATGAAAACATGATACGAATTATTACATCTCCCTACTCACTCAAGATTTCAAGTTGCTGATAAATTGCGACAGTGTAATTAAAGCAATGGACCATTATTGAATACTGCCTTAAGGCCTCATCTATCAAAGGCTGAAGAACATAGGCTGTTGCATTACATTCCAAGAAAATTCTTGTCCACCCATCAACGTTAGCCTTTTTCGAGGCTGCCAATGGACATGCTTGTTATTGCCTCCAAAGCATTATGTTTCCCAGCTGGAAGTTTAGAGGACCCAGCGTTAATTTGATCAAATAACATCACGTTTCCTGCTGTAACTGCTAGGAACACTTGGTTGGGCTCTAAGTTGAGCTTTGTCCTAATCTTTCGGAGCCCAGACGTCAGGTACTTTAAACCTCCCAGACAACATTTTGTAGACTTGCAAACATATTAAAACAGTGTCAGAAATGCTGCGTTCAGATTTTTCCTGTGTTGTTTCAAATTGTCCTCAAAGTCACAGTCTGTACACATGTTCTATATGGGGTACTGTAGGGCTATGGTGGAGAAAAAAAATATATATTTCGTATTATCCATATTTATATGATTTGTAACACGTAATTTTAATATAGAATGTGAGATAAATATATGAATTATCAATATTTGCTAGATCTATGTAAGAACCCTTACTTCTATTCCCGTTACAAGATTAACCACTATATATGAGACAAAACATGCCCGGTTGCTTAAGGAGATTTGATGATGCATTGAACCTGTTCTAGAGTTCTGCCCTGGTGTAAGATCTATTCATTGAGCATGCAAGACCCACCTTACTTGCTTTTGCAAAAGAAGACAATGAAACATTACCCTACATTGTCCTATAATATTCCTTTTCCAACAAATCATTATTAGCCGATTGAGAGGCTTTTCTGATCCGCGAAAAAAAAGTGCTTTAACGCGTTTGTTTATGATCTCAGTTGTCCTTGCAGCAACCAACCATCATTCGGAGAGGATTCAGGTAATTATGATTAAATGAGAGAAATGTGTTTCACCTTCATGAATTTTTTTTGTGCAAAAAAAAAAAAAAACTTTTGGTTCAAATATAAGAAAAGAGATTGCAAGTGTTTGAATTTACATTTTAATCTACTCGAAAGTAGGGTTTCATGTACAATCGAACTAACTTTTGAGTTCATCTTTTATGGATTCTTTTCCTTGTTTGTACTTCTTTTACATCCTCGTTATAACTGATCCACTTTGATTAGGTAGTTGAATGCTTATGTGGATTATAACTACAATGTCAGATAAGTGAACTGATTGTTGGGTGGGTAATACTGTCAGCATCTTAAAGGAATTCTCTTTGATGAAATGATGATGGTTTCTTCTATCATTCCTAACATTATTATTCTAAGATATGATTTTGTTAGAAATATTTTTGGGTCAAAAAATAAAATGTTCATTTTTATTATTAGAGACTATCAACAGATAGTTAATATATTTTTATTTTTGAATTGATCTAACATATATAATATCATATCAATTCAGTCATATCACTAATTTATTTTTCAAATCCCTCGCATTTCATCTATAAATAAAATCATCTAAGTATTATCCAATCATCTTATTTTTTTTTAGTTTTTCTCTATTTTACGGTCCTTCTGATATTTTACAATTGACCTGTGATTTAAGTGTCGGAGTGCAAATGTAAAGCATACTTACTGTCTTAACCCTTAACTGCTCTCTTTCTTAGGATTCCAGGATTTTTCCCTCAAACCGGAGCTCGACGCGAATAGGTTTAAAGTTGCTTTCGAGTCAACAAAGTTTTCATGATGCTCACCCCACAAAGAAAAGGAATAAGGTCAAGCATCCATTGTAAAACCTGCGTATACAGCAGACAATTGGACACATTGGCCATCTCATTGTTGCATTTGAAGGTCATTAGGGAAAAAAAAGACAGCATTTAATCATTTTTTAAATGGTATTTATGAGAAGATAATTTTTTTATGAATTCGTTAAATCTGAAGTAAATAAATCTATTTGAATTAATTTGTAACTAAAAAGTGTTTATTATTGAAAAAAATAAAAAAAAATTTCCCACAAAAAAGTAACATCTAATAACCAGTAAATAGAATCTCATCATTTGATTAAAAAAAAAAACAATTAAAAGGGTTATCTTATTTGTTCCTTACAATATTCTTTCTATGTCTGTTTTAATTCCAAAATCAGCTTTTTCAGTTCTATATGTCACTGTAGGCAAAATAATTTTAACATATCAGGATTGAACATACAATCTGCATTTCCTGTCCTCTATTTTTGTTCCAACTGCTAAATCAATATTTAAATTACTGCTTTTATCAAACAAAGTTCTTTCAGTCACCACCAGCTCTGGTTTGGCTAAGGTGGTCATTTCCTGTATGTTTCTTTTTTTTTTAAAGGTTTTTTTATGTGTTTTTAAGGTCGTTTGCTACCTTGGAAGATGAATAAGACAAATCATGCATTTACTCCATTTTGCCAATCCAAATACGTTTTCATCAAACCTGAAGCAACAGGTTGGACTGGAATTGGATAAATCATGCAACCGACCATTCCTTTCCAAGTAATTTTTTAGTTGTTTTGTTTCTTCAATGAAGAGATCATGAGATCGACCCACAACAATAAAAAAAATCAGAGAAAAACAGTGAGACAAATCCTTTTTAGTTCATAATAATAAAATACTATTGTAGTATAGTAATGGTTGTTCCTGTTTAGACATATGGAAGGCTTTGACTTCCTTTGAGTGTTTTTTTATTTTTTTTTCAATACACCACTAAAAAGTTTTAAATAGATAAAAATACTTTTCTCCATCAAGTCAAAGCTACGGTCTAGGATTTAAGCTGTTGCCATGGCTTTCATGGCTTCAAATCTTGGTTCCTTGGGCTGGAATTTCAGTCCAACATATAGTTTCATGTAGTCTTCAAACACAAATTTGGGGTACACTTGTTTCTTCTCCTCAGCGTCTTTCTCCAGCAGAGCTGGTGCTGGGTAGATAACAGCATCACTACCAGGGTTGTAGAATGAAGCTATTGACATGCGAGTTCCGTCAGTTTGGGCAATCACTCTGTGCTCCACACTCTTGTATTTGCCATTGGTGATCACCTGCATATTTAAGAATTCAGGATTTTAAGTTCAAGTTTCCCTTGTGATAGATTTACCTTTAGCACAGAGCCAAGATTTGGTGAAATTGAGTGCATACCTCGATCTGATCTCCAAGGTTGATTACAATAGAGTGGCGCATGGGAGGAACATCGATCCACTCGCCGTCTTTAAGAAGCTGGAGGCCGCTCACTTTGGCGTCTTGGAAGAGCAAGATGATGCCACCAGCATCTGTATGGGCTCTGAGTCCCTTAAATTTTTCTGGTGTTGGGCATGGTGGGTAGTTGCTAACTTTGGTGCCAAAAGTTGGACCTCTTGCCCCATAGAAGGCCTTTTTCAGGTATCCCTTCTCTAGTCCAAGGTTCTCACACAACAAGTCCAGGAGCTCCTCTGCTAGTTTTTCCAATTTCAGTGCAAATTCTTTCATCACCTTCCTGCATTTTTTTAATTGGACTAAAGTGTCAGGTCAAGAAAGAGAGGACAGCATTAACCAATGCTGACAGCCCTGGGAAAGAAATTTTGTGGGAAAGATATATTTTTTTCAATTGAATCTAGAACATATGACTTCATTCAGAAAGTTGCAATTTGCTTCCTGATCTATACCTATATTCATCAGTGAGATCTGGGAAATCAGCCATGTTTGATTCAGGAAGATGGCGCAAGTAGAATGTGCTTTCCCAATCCATATCAGTCACCTCAGCCTGGAGACCTTCCAGGGCCTTGCTTGCTACCAGCTCCTTAAACCTCTGCTCCATGCATTTCTTGTAATGCTCTTTTGTTAATCTCTCAACAGTATCCAGAAAATCATGGGGAATCCCATGGTTCAGCAGCTGATATCAGCACAACAAATGAAGAAATAACCCACATTAGCAAAATATTTAGGGGATTAGCGTACAGCACTAAAGCTAGGCAGCCATTGATACCTCAAAGAAGCCCCAGTTCTCACAAGCATCATTGATTTGCTCCATGATTGCTGCTCTCTCCTCACCATTAAGCTTCTCCAAGTTGATCACTGGGAAAGTTGCCATTTCTCTTATCACTTTTTTCTTTCCTAAAATCTCTCAAAGTCTCACTCTTCAACTTTGGGTGTTATGCAAAAGCTTAGGTTTCTTTTATGCAAGATGGATGAATGGATTGGGGGTATTTATAGGGATCTAAAAATCTCTATTGCAGAGAGAAAAAAAAAAAAAAAGGGATAATGGGAAAAATAATACTCCTAGTGGAAATAATAAAGCAAATAAAATCATGAAAGACTTAAAAGTGTTAGGCCTTTGCCTCGTTGAAATTTCCACTACTCTCTTTTTAAAAATAGTCTCTTTTTAATTGAAAGTTGGCAGAAGCGATAAGGGATGAATTTCGATACGATTGAATTCTCCCACGATCTGTTATTAATAGGTAATTTATAAGTATAAAAAATTTATGGATAAAAATTTAATAGACTCGTAAATTAAATTTTAATGAGATTAATAATTTGTTTTAATTTTGAAGATGGGATAATTTTTTATTTTTAAATTTTTTTAAAAAATAATGATAATTTTAATTAGATATAAAAAATATAAAATTAATATGATTTAAAATTTTAAAAATTATATATATTTAATCAAAATAAAAAATATATTATGTATTTCAGATATTAATATTAATTTAATACAATAATTTTTATATTTATACATATTTAATACGAAAAATACATGATACGATACATAGATTACCGGCTTGGGCCCACTTTTTTGTATCTCTTTCAGTCATATTTTTCTTATTAATTTTGACCAAAACCAAACCAAGGTTCCTACCACTCTCTCCCATCACATCTATGTCTTGGATTTGTTCTCTTCGGCATGCTCCGGAAATTGATCAAACCAAAACGAAGCTGCTCAGCTCTTTCACAAAATTCCACCCGTCGACCGTAGACCGTCAAAGAACCCAAATCTTAGCCGTCCTCCATTTGATAAGATGTTCCATTTTTGTTGATTTGATGACTTGATTAGCCAATAAAGCCCTAATTTTTGTACAGGTTTTGTGTTGGGCATTAACAATTTTAAATCGGATTGATAAATCACGTAACCGCTTCTACCTCTTTTAAAAAGAAATTTGAAATTTTCTTTTAAACTACGAAATTTAGAAGCAATATGATGAATAATATTGAGTGTTTGATGCATAAAGTTGAAGACGTATATATATGAAGATAACTTAGCCCCAAACTTGGAATAAGGAAAAGAAGTAAGCACTTTTTCGTTTTTATTTTATTTAAACTAATATATGATCAATAATTTAATATCGAGATTACAATTTAGAAATTAAAAAATTATACTTGTTAAAATTTAAATTTTAAATTAAATAAATATTTTATTTTAAAAATAATTATATAAATTAATTAAATCAAATTTTAAATTCAAAATTATTTTATCCTTAAAATCAGATAAATCATCAACTCAATTGAGATTGAATTAAATTTTAAATTTATAATTTAATATTTATTTTTTTATAAAATTATCTCATCTTCAAGTTCATAACTATTCGTCTACAAATTCATGATAAATCATCAATTCAATTGAGATTAAATTAAGTTTTAAATTTGTAATTTAATATCTATCTTTTTTTGGTCAAGTTATCTCATCTCCATTACATTTTCATATGTAAATAAATTTTTTGAACTTACAAATTATTTATTAACAAAAGATCATGAAAAAATTTGAATCTAAATGCTAAAACACTCAACGTTCTTACCTTTGCACTTTTACCAACCCTTGGTGACTAGTTTAATATTTATCTATTACTATAAATTTAGCACGTGGGAATACAAAATTTAGTGACATAAATCATACTAACCTATAGTATGCCGCCATGAAACGTGGGTACAAAAAATTGACGAGTATCTGAGCAACGACGTCGTGTTTGTTTCATAATGGTC